CTGTTTCTTTGTCTCCTCATTTTGGCTGCCTCCTGTGTTTGTTTCTGTGTATTGCTTAACGAGAGATCTGGGGCTAGCTGAGACCAGATGCTGCTTGTTTGAAAGAATTTAGGAAAGCCTGAAGCCGGATCCAAGACAGGCCAATCCTATGGTTAAGCAACTGGCAACAGCTTGTGTAGGCCTGAAAGTTGGGTGGGGTGGGGTCTCAAGGAATCACTGGGGTGAGGCAACCAGTGTGAGCCAGGTTGCTGGAGTCCCAGATATAGTGGCTGTCTGCCGCCCCAGGGAAGGGCTCACCAAAGGAACAAAGGCCTCTGACAGCACGTTTGTCCCAGAGAAATCCCCCTCTTCAGCCCTCGCACCAGTGCCAAATAGCTCAGTTCTTCTCTGTATGTCTCTGGTGCCCCTCGAGCTGCCTCCCCTCCAAGCTTAGAGGGAGTGAGTTCAATAAGTTTGTGTGCGGGCCCTTTAAGGAGCTGCTTGGGGCTCCAGCTGCTTCAGCTTCCCTGAGCCTCAGTTCCTGCTGGTTTTTCCAGCCAGAAGTTATGGGGACTTCTCTTCCTGGCACTGGAACCCTGAGCGGGGCACCTGCTGTGGGATGGGGACTCTTCAGTCCTCAGGGAGGACCTTCCCAGCTCAGGACCTTCCTCCTGATTTTTATGTGCCACACGTGGGTGTGGGGCCAGCCCGTCGCACCTCCGACCAGTCTGGATGTGGCTGCTTCTTTAATTCTGTAGTTGTAGGACTTCCATTCAGCTTGATCTGGGCCACAAATTTGATCTGAGCTTTCTAGAGATCAAAACTCAGTTGCAGTTTGTCCCGGGCCCTGGTTGGGTCGTTCGGGTGGCGACCACTCAATGTCAGACATGGAATTATTTTGACAAGAGTATAATAAATTCTCATACTCTATCCTTCATCTAGATTCACTCATTGTTAACATTATTCCACATTTGCCTTCTCTCAGTCTCTTCATACGTTTATGTAAGTGCATATCACATATACACATATATTACACATTTTTGAACCCTTTGAAAGTAAGTTGCAGGCATCATGATACCTCACCTTTAAATACTTCAGTCTGCACTTTGTAAGAAACAGATATTCTCTTATATAACAACCACTATACATTGTGAAGAAAATTAACGATTTCATATTATCATCTTATATTAAGTCTAGAATCAGAGTTCAGTGAATGTCCCCAAAATGCCTTTTATTTTATTTTTTAAAATCTAGGATCAAATTGAAGTTCTTGCATTGTATCTTTTGGTTATTATGTCTCATTAGTCTCTTAATCTTAGAATAGCCCCTGCCTGTCTCTTTCTGTTTCTGTCTCTGTCTCTTTCTTTTTGAAACTACGACATTGACTATTTTAAAGAGTCCTGGCTAGTTGTCTTCTAGAATGTCCTACATTCTAGATTTTTATGATTTATTTGGGATTGCCCTCATAATTAGGTTCATGTCACATTTTTGCAAGATGATGCCATTTGCTTATTGTATCATATCAGAGAATATAGAATGTTTGCTTGTCTCACTGTTGTTGTTGGTCCTGTATTTGATCACTTAGTTAAGGTGGTAGCTGCTGAATCTCTCCATTGTAAAGGTGCTTTTCTTATTTGTAATTAATAGTCACCTGTGACTTAATTATCTGTTTGCATTGTGTTGACACCACGGTGGCTGAGCACTGATGAAAAGAAGTCACAGAACAGTATATTTGTGGCATTATAAATTCATGATTATTATTTTCCCCATTTTTATTTTTAATTTTTAATGATTTTAGAGAGAGGAAAGGAGAGAGAGAGAGAAAGAAATGTAGATTTGTTCCACTTATTTTTGCATTCAGTGGTTGATTCTTGTATGTGCCCTGACTGGGGATCAGACCACAACTTAGGTGTATTGGGACAATGCTCTAACAGCTGAATCACCCAGCCAGTGCCTAAAGTTCATGATTATTAATATCACTAGATTCCTAAACTGCAAGATAATCTTACTCTGTTTCTCTAGTTAGCTTACGTTCCCCCTCTCCACAATGATGATTTGAAACCTTTTCTTTTTTCAAGCCTGTTTTCCTTTACCTTTCATATCACTTTGGAAAGATGATCTTGATTCCTTCTACTTCTTGGAAGAGGGAAAGGGGTGCCTCTTCTCCCATCACAAATCAGCATGATTGAACAGTTAAAGTGCTGGTAATAGAATTAGGAATATATGGTTCTGGATCCCACTTTTAGTACCCACCCATTTTACTATGGGCTTAGTTATTAATCATTCTGTTTGGTCTTCTCAATTACAAAAGTGTTACCATTGTACCTCGTAGAATAGTTGTGAAGATTAAATGAAGTAAATTATTGTAAAATGCCTGATATATTCGCTTGTCTTTTTTTTTTAAACCCCTGCCCAAGGATATGTTCAGAGAGGAAGAGAGAAACATCAATGTGAGAGAGAAACATCAATTGGCTGCCTCCGATGTGCACCCCTACTGGGGATCAAATCAACAACTTAGGCAGTGTCCTGACCGGGAATTGAACCACAACCCCCTGCTGTATGGTTACAATGCTCCAACCACCTGAGCCACCTAGCCAGGCAAATATTAACTCTTCTTATTTTTATTTTTTTATTTATTTTTATTTTTTTAATCCTCACCCAAGGACATTTTTCCATTTTTTGTTCAGGTAGAGTGGGAGGGAGAGAGAGGAACAGAGAGAGAGAAACATTGATGTGAAAGGGACACATGGAGTGGTTGCCACCCGCACAACCAACCAGGGCCGGGGACAAACTGCAACCGAGGTACATGCCCTTAGCGGGAACCGAACCCGGGTCTCTCAGGACCGCAGGCCGACGCTCTAACCGCTGAGCCAAACCGGCCAGGGCTTAACTCTTCTTATATCATGTCTTAGGACACTTTATTTGTTAGTTATTCTGTCTCCTGTAGCTTCAGCCTCTCCCACTCTGCTGACCTGTTCCCATAAGCACTTACATAGATATTTGTCTTAAGCTAACTAATCAATCAATTACTAAGAAACCTTTCCTGCACCTCACATCTATCTTTAGCTTTTGTCCTGTATCCACTATTCATGGCCATATATCAACTGCCTATATTTTTGTATGCCTTTCCTCCTTTCCCATTTACTCATCCCATTTATTCTGGTTTCTGCTGCCACCATTCTGCTAACTTACCCCCAATAAAGTTACCATTATTTCTCTAAATTCATTTTTATTACCCTTTGACTTTAGTGCTTTCATTTCATTCTTCATAAAACATAAAAGTGATCTTTTAAAAATGTGTTCTGATCTTATCATTCTCTTATTAAAACTAGTAGATTTCTGTTGTTGACATAAAGTCTCAAATCCTTAATAGAGTTCACAAGGTCCCACCCAACTACCCATCCTTATCTTGTATAAATTTCCTTTTTACTCTAAGCAGTTGAACCAGGTAAGTCCTTTAATTTCCTTGAAAGCATTACTCATATCAGAGCCATTTGCATTTTGTCCCCCATTTCAGATAATTCTACATTTTCCACCTGTTTCCTTTGGATAGTGTCTATTCTTTGAGGTTTTTAGCTTAAATGCCATATTCTCACTAAAACCTCTCCTGATTTGGTTCAAATGAAGTACGGCCATCTGTATTTTTCCTCTATATCACTCATCAAAATTGTAATTAAGTAATTAGTTGGGTAATTCTCCTCCGGAATGTAAGCTCTATTACGGCAGAACTATAACCATCTTATTCATTGCTATATTTCCAGTTTCTAGGGTTTTTCTGTGAGCAGGTATTCAGTATGTATTTATTGAAAAAACAATGAATTCTTATTCATGCAGAATGTCACTCATCTCTTTATTCCATAATAATAATCCTAAAACCTGTAGATTAATTTTTTAAAATCTCAAAATGTTTGGAGTTTCTGTGCGTTCTGTGGAGATCTCCTGAAGACTGGTAACACCCCCTCCTTCCAGATGGTTTGAAGGTATATTGCCTTAAGTGGCTGCCGCAAAAACGTGATTTATTTGAGATCTGTTTTATCTTTAAAATACATGAGCACTTTGCTTTCTGTTTCTTAATATTCATATTTGTTAAACAAACAAACTGGTACCAAGGAGAATAGACACTCTTATGATTAAATATTTCCAGTTCTTTCAGCCATTCATCACTTTACATTGTTTCAAGTCTATTTGGTAGCCTGTTTACAATACTGCAAAAACTATATTCCATGGTTCCAGTATTATCAGCCCACAGATGTATTGAAAAAGTAATGGGGAAAAAATGTAATGAGGCAAAAAGCTGGAACTGTTTTCATTTATCATTTATCATTTTACTTTTGAATTGGTGTAGGTACAATTAAAGTAAATGTTTTAAATTGACCTATTTTTATTTATTTAATTTTTTGAACACCTCACCTGAGGATATTTTTCCATTGATTTTTTTTTAGATAGAGGGGGAGGGAAGGTGAGAGAGAGAGAGAGAGAGAAACCCATTGGTTGGCTCCTGCACATGCCCCAACTAGGAATCAAACCCACAACCTGGGTATGTTCCCTGACCAGGAATCAAGCCCACCACCTTTTGGGCTTGATTCCTGGTCAGGGAACATACCCAGATGCTCCAACCAACTGAACCACACCAGGCAGGGCAAACGAAAAACATTTTTAGTGCAGAAAGTGGTTGCCTCTGTGATGAGATGTGCAGATGTGTTGTTGTTCCACTAATGGAGAATAGGTCCAGATTGGTTACCAGGAATCCAACAGCTATACATGTGTGTGACTACAGTTGTAGTAAAACAGACAGAATTCTGAAGAAAATCCCAATTTAAGTGAAATAGGCTTTACTTTTTCATGTATATTCGAGAATGGTTAGGCAAAATTTTTACTCATGATGTTTACTATTCTATTTAATTGCTTGAAGAACTGAAATTTAGAATTCTTGGAGGTTTTTATTTGTTATTGTTTGTGATGCATTCATGTATTATACAATGTTTAGTACTGTATGTATTAATTATTTATATGTATAACAGGCAACTCAAAGTTATGTTGACGAATGTCCTATGGACGGATTTAGGACGAAAATTCAGAAAGATCCCACCTAGAAACGATGCTAATTTATGTGATGCCAACAAGGTGCAATCAGACTCATTGCCTTCGACATCTGTTGACAGCCTAGAGACATGTCAAAAATTAGAACCTCTTCACCAAAGCCTTAAATTATCTGAAAGGTATGTTGTTCAGTGCTGATTTTGTTCAACTTACCACATTTAGAAATAAGTCCAATAGTATTAAAAATAAGATTCTTGGAAATGATCTTTAAGAAAATCTGCATATGCAGGTGTGCCCCATTTGAAAGTAAATCTTAAAGTTTACAATCTTAATTTACAAACTTCACGATAGTTCAATGCTTGATTAAGTAGATTGACAGAATTATTTTTAAAAACAAGTATCAATACATTTAACTTACTTTATGATTCACATATACATATATTAAGATTCATTTATGATATAAAATGAAGAGATATACATATAGGTAACGACTTAGGTTAAATAATATTTAGAGGGTGTGTTAACATATCTTTTCTATTTTCTGCATCTTTAACATACTATTTAGGTGTTATTTAATCTAGGCACTTACCACTTCCAACTCTTTTGAACTTACTTGTATTGTAAGTGCATTTTTTTAAAAAAAGGAGGTGATATTGAAATATTACCACCAGATTTTTAATATAAACATGCAGTTTAATTTTGAAAACTAACACAACCAGATTTGCTTTGTATTTTTTAAAAGAATTGTATGTGGAGTTTGGGGCTGAAAATTATAAATTAGCTCTGGGAATTTGTGATCTGTAACATATTTTTAGTATATTTCCATGTATAGTTTTAATCCTTAAATGAATAGATTTTGGAGGAGGTACTTTAGAATAACCTGTCATTAGCTAGTTAGTGTTTTGGTTATATGGTCTGTAACTGAATGACACTCTATATAAGTGTTTTAAGCCAAGATCTAGATAAAAACCACTAACTTTCAACATGGTTATTTAAAAAATAAAAGTAAAACTCTATCAGAACACCTGAACATAATATATATTAATTTAAAAAAGGATGCTTCTTAAAAAAGTTTTTATTGATTTTTTTTAGAGAGAGAGGAAGGGAGAGATAGAAACATCCATGTGAGAGAGAAACATTGATTGGCTGCCTCCTGCATGCCACCCATTGGGGATGGAGCCTGCAACCTAGGCATGTGCCCTGACCAGGAATTGAACCAGGACCTCTCAGTCCATGGGATGATGCTCAATCTACTGAGCAACACTGGCCAGGCAGGATGCTTCTTTTAAAAAAGGCAAAAATAGCCCTGGCCGGTTTGGCTCAGCGGTTAGAGCGTCGGCCTGCGGTCCAGAGAAACCCGGGTTCTGTTCCCGCTAAGGGCATGTACCTCGGTTGCAGTTTGTCCCCGGCCCTGGTTGGGTCATGTGGGTGGCAACCACTTGATGTGTCTCTTTCACGTTGATGCTTCTGTCTCTCTCTCCCTCCTACTCTATCTGAATAAAATATGGAAAAATGTCCTCGGGTGAGAATTAAAAAAAAAAAAAAAGGCAAAAATATAAAAAGCCAAGTAACAAGAATTTTCTTTACAGACCATACCTAATGTAAATTTAACTTTCTAAAGCACTCTGAATCTTAGAGTCAGACAACTTAGCTTCGGTAATTTATGAAGCAGTTTTCTCTCCTTCTTCTGGATCTAGCATTTTTCCTTTTTAGTATGGGTGAACTATTCCCTTACTGTGCTGATAGATAAAAGGGATAGTTAAAGGAATGGCCCTTTCAATGCCTGAAACTCTTGAAAAGAAGCTTCAGCTCTCTTTCAGATGACAATTTCATCAGTCCCTCATTTCATCTGTCCTTTTCCAGCTAAAGAGTATAATGTTTCATCCTGTAAAAAGAATAGTTTTTCTCACCAGGAATTGTTAGTAGCTAGATTATGTGTTCATGAAATTTAAATATAATATGAAGTAGAGTTTCAATAAGATTCTAATTTTGTTTTTACTGTGTGTGTGTGCACGTGCTATTTTTGTTTGAACTACCAGTTATTACAGAACTATTTCCTGAGCTCCAGGATTTGTAAATTTAAGTTGTTCAAAGTGAATGCATCATCTTTGTTTTCAGACTTGTTCCTGTATCTGTATCCCCTCCCTGTCTGAGTATATGACTCCTCTATACACTCAGATCTACAATTTAGAACTTTGTAATTGTCCTGACTGCTCTTTCTTCCTTACCCTTCATATACAGTCATTTATCATGTCTAGTTATTTTTACCTCCTAAGTCTGGAAACTATTTCCTATCCATGTTCATTGGCACTACCTCAGTTCAAACCCTAATAACTTTGTGCCTTTATCACTATGATAGTTAACTGGATTAAGCTTCCTGTGCATAGTCTTTTTCCTCTTTATTATTTTCATGTATTGTTTTTTCATGTATTCATTCTAAAAGCAGATATTACTTGTCATTCTCTAGTTTAACATTTTTCTGCGGCCCTGTGTACCGTCAGGGTAAAGTTTAAACTCCTTAGCTTGGCATATAAGGTTCTTAATGATCTCACCTTTGCTTGTTTCTATCCTTGTGTCTGTCTACTCCTCTACATTTATGCTATTTTATTTTTTATTAAATTTAATTGATTTGAGAGAGAGAAAGGAAGGGAGGGGGGAGAGAGATTTGTTGTCCCACTTATTTTTTTAAAATGTTTTTTTCTTTATTGATTTCAGAGAGAGAGGAAGGGAGAAGGAGAGAAAGATAGAAACATCAATGAGAGAGAACATTGCTTGGCCACCTCCGCCTCCTGCATGCTCCCCACTGGGGATTGGGCCCACAACCCGGTCATGTGCCCTGACCAGGATTTGAACTGGCAGCCTCTTGGTGCATGGGTCCATGCTCAACCATTGAGCCACACTGGCTGGGCCCACTTATTGTTTTTATTATTATTATTTTTAATTCTTACCTGAGGATATTTTTTTCCATTGAGTTTTAGAGACAGTAGAAGGGGAGGAGGACACACACACACACACACACACACACACACACACACATCAATTGACTGCCTCCTACACATGTCCCAACCAGGGCCAGGGATTGAACCTACAATCCAGGCATGTGCCCTTGACTGAGAATTGAACCTGTGACACTTTGGTGAGCAGGCTGTGCTCTAACCACTGAACAACATTGGCCAGGGCTGTTCCACTTATTTTTATGCATTCACTGGTTGATTCTTATATGAACCCTAACCAGGGATCATACCTGCAACCTTGGTGTATCAGGAAAACCCTCTAAACATCTGAACTACCAGATCAGGGGTATTATAATTTTTTTTGCTTGTTATATTATAGCTTTCTTACCAGATATAACTTTGTTCTCTTTCAACAAGGGTTCCATTTCTTTAAAAATTTGCTGTTGACCTGAAGTTTATATTAATAGCTCTTATCAGTTTTTCAGTTTTCCCACATTTATCTAATTATTTGAATCTTACATTTACCTTGCTACTTGTGCAGGAAAAGTCTTGACAATTTGTAATTGAGAAAATTAAGAATCAGAGAGAATAACCATGCAGAGATACAATTAATATATGACAGTACTTTTCAGGCCCGTATATTTTCTGCTTTATCTCACTGCATTACAAAATTTGTCTCTACTTTGGTTTAGCATATTTTATTTTAAGTGTGATTTCAAAATATTATTACAGTGAAACATTGTTTTATTTTACGAATATTTTACATACTTGGGAAAACAATTGGATGGACTTTATTTAATGACAATTTTCAGTCCTTCTATATTGAAATAATATAAGAAATAAAGTATGTACTTTTACATATTTCTTTTATTTTTTGTAAGATTTTTTATTGATGTTTAGAGAGTGAGAGAGAGAGAACGAGAGAGAAACATTGATGTGAGAGCAACACTGATTGGCTGCATCTTGCATGTCCCCTACTGAGGATTGAGTTGAAGCCTGGACATGTGTCCTGACTGGGAATTGAACTGACAATGCTTTAGGGCACGGGATAACCAATGCCCAACCAACTGAGCCACACTGGCTTGGGCTATAAATTTCTTTTTTAAAAATTCAGAAACTTGCTCTGGCTGGTGTTGCTTAGTGGTTGGAGCATCAGCCAGCACACTAAAGGGTCTTGGGTACAATTCCTGTTCAAAGGCACATACCTGGGTTGCAGGTTTGATCCCCAGCCTGGTTGGGGCACCTGTGGGAGTCAACTGATCTATGCGTGTGTGTGTGTGTGTGTGTCTCTCTCTCTTCCCTCCCTCTCTCCCTTCCACTCTCTCTAAAAATCAATGAGAAAAATATCCTCTGATGAGGATTAATAAAACAAAACAAGACAAATCAGAATCTCTTGAAATGCTGGCTGTCTCTGGAATTTATATTCTAATGCTAATTTATATAATTGTACACCAAAAGACAATTTTGGTATTAACTTAGTCATCACTTTATAGATTTGTATTCTGTAAGTCTGTCACACAAAGCTCTCTGTTTCATCAAGGTACTCACTTTGGATAAGTTGCCAATAGTTGCTGAAAGATGATTGGGCTGTGGCTCTGTGTTATGACCAGCTGGGTGAACTGTAGGCATTGCTAACAATTTAATCAGGTATTTATCTAATAGAATATTTTCATCAAGATTGCTGAACAAGATAAATTATGACAATTGTGCACTATTTATAAAAGGATAATTTATAACTTTGAGCAAGACTTCAATAATAGGAAAATTAAAGTGAGTTTTCATTTATTGTGTACTTATTATGTGCCAGGACTGGTGCTAACTGCTTTATATCTATTATTTCATTTAATCTTATCAACTTTGTACGGTGGATAGTGTTCTCCCCATTTTATTTTTATTTTATTTTATTTTTTTTTATCCTCACCCGAGGACATTTTTCCATTTTTTGTTCAGGTAGAGTGGGAGGGAAAGAGAGGAACAGAGAGAGAGAGAGAGAAACATCGATGTGAAAGGAACACATCGAGTGGCTGCCACCCGCACAACCGACCAGGGCTGGGGACAAACTGCAACCGAGGTACGCGCCCTTAGCGGGAACCGAACCCGGGTCTCTCAGGACCGCAGGCCGACGCTCTAACCACTGAACCAAACCGGCCAGGGCTGTTCTCCCCATTTTAGAGATGAGAGTAATGCTAGGAGGCATACATTAAGGTAAGTAACCTAAGGATATG